TGATTGATCAAAATGTTGAAGATAAAAACAATGATTTAAGAATTTTTACATTGGGTATTGGTGATAGTGTTTCACATAATTTAGTGGAATCAGTTGCTAGAGCTGGTAATGGATATGCAGAATTTGTTACTAATAAAGAAAGAATGGATAAAAAAATTTTGGGAATGTTGAAAAATGCTGTAAAACCACCTATCAATGATTATAAAATTAAATGGACAACAAGTTATGACAAACAAGATAAAGATGAAGATAAATTCTTTAATTATTTGTTTGAAGTAGAGGGAGCCGAAGAAGAAAAAAAGAGAGAGAAGGAAAAGAAAGAAGAGGAAAAGAAAGATAAACCTGTAATTAGTTTTTTTAGTAATGAACCACAATCAACATCCACAACAACAAAAAAAGCAGAAAAACCTAAAAAAGACGTTGAAAAATTATTGGAATGCATTAAATTACAACAAGCACCTTATAAAATACCAGAAATTTACCCAGGTGTTAGGTTCATAGTTTATTGTATTTTATCAAAAGATGTTCAACCATCTAATGAAATTATCTTGACAGCTAAATCCTCAGATGGACCAATGAAACTGAATATACCAATAGATCATGTAACCTTGACTGGATCAAAAATTCATACACTGGCTGCCAGGAAACTTGTACAAGATTTGGAAGAAAACAGATCATTTATTCATAAACATCTTAAATCTAAAGATAAAACTATTCCTGATTATATGTTTAAAGATTATATTGTTAACTTGGGAATAAAATATAATCTAATGTCAAAATATACAAGGTAAGCAACAAATAATAATATTAATTAATAATAATTTTTTCTTGTAAATTAATAATAATATTATTAATGATAATCTTTTATTATTATTATTATTATTATTATATTATTATTATTATTAGTTTTGTTGCAATTGATGAACAATCAAAAGAATCAATATCTCAAAAACAACCAGAAGTTAGACATGTTCCAAATAAACAATCATCAAAAATGTTTAAAATTAGTTCAGTATCTACCTGTTTCTCAACAATTGGTAGTGCCTTTACTGTTGCTGGTATTTATTTATTTGCTTACATATCAAAAATGATTTTAAAAGATATTGTCTATCTATATTGAGATTAATAATAATTAACATATTATTTATTATTAAAAAAATGTTGTGTAGAAAGTAGACCAATGTTCATGATGAAGATGAGTAATAGTAATGTTCTTTATTTTGATGATGATGATGGTGATGATCAAAATCAAAATCAAAGAGAAAAGGAGGAAGAAGTAAATGAACATAAAAAACCAAAAATTGAAATACTCTTAAAATTTTTGTCATTACAATCATTTGATGGTAAATTTCAACCTAAAAATGAATTTTTTGAATTTTTTGGAAAAAATTCATTGGATGAATTTAACTTTGAAAATAATTTTGAGAATAAAGATGATGAGCAGCAAAAAGAGAAATTATGTACTATTATTGGATTGATTTATTTAGAAGTAGTAATGATGAAGGATTTTAAAGATGAATGTGATATTTGTTATGAAAAATCTAAAACAGCATTAACAACTAAATTTAAAGATTATAATGAAGAGAATGTTAAGAATGTTATGGATAGTGTTAGGAAGTGGATGAATGATTGGATTAAAGAATAAAAATCGTGTATATAATATTAAAGTATATAAATATCACAATAAATTTTGATTTTCCCTCTAAAAGTTTGGTTTTTTGATGCTAACATATGACCCTAAAATTTTAAATTCATTAACTACGCAAAAATATACATAATAACTTCATAAAAAATTATAATAACTTGTAACTTGGTTTTGGAAAATGTATTGCGAAATAGAGATGTTGGAAGGTGTTGTGTCATATTACTGCTCCTGGGACAAAACTCGGATTTTCTGAGACAATTTATCCAGTTTATAGTTACAAGGTTTATTTCATGGATTTCGATGCCATTTTTCTGTATATCCACAAGGACTTGTATGCAACGATTTTAACTGTTTTTATATTACTCAGCTTTCCAATGAAAAAAGGGCTTACGAAGGAATAGATATGAATGTAATGAATATCTATGAACTGAGCTAGCCTGGTCTATAAAGCCAATTAGTATACACAGTGAATCTCGATTTAGCGGATGAGTTTGGCCCAAGAAATTTATCCATAAATTTTAATTTTACAAATCATAATAATGTTTTATTTTATAATAAGCTATTTTTTCAAAAATATTGACACAATCATAATTTGTAATCGAGGATGTGCAAGTGAGCAGGGAGAGAGACCATTCTATATTTCCCGTGCCACTGTTTATTTACAAATACAACAAATTTAATTTACAAAAAAAAAATCAAAACAAAAATCAT